AATCATAAGTACATTAATAGAGGACAAATATATGCAGATGAAACACATGTGACTTTATAATTCTATATGATTTCCTTTATGGTCTACATTAATAGCTTTATGATCTGGCCAAAGGGTGCAGTCTTTACTAGCAGATATTGATACTAGTGTGGAGCCCGAAGTCTCATTTACTACTTTGCAAATGAAGACATATTATCTTACATAGTTTTATGGGCATTTGCCTTCTCTCACCACCATATGATTTGGGCTTCAAGTTTAGATGTCAGCTAGTAAAATTTTAAAGCCTGTAATCGGACTATGCAAGAAATGTCTAAATTGATAGATAAAACTTGGTTATTTTGAGATGGTACACTTGAAATAAGTTGTGTCTATGAAACCATGCATAATGAAAATACATGAATACAAAAGAAGATCCATGGGGAAAATTTAAAAATCATGTCTGCTATTTCTCTTTTTTCTTTCTTTTTAGAATTTTTCTATTAAAAAGCTTCTCACTTCACTTGGGAAATTCCAAAACCTTGGATATTGGAAGTTAATAATTATATATAGCTTTTTTGTTTGCAAGTCATAAACACTGACCCACATACTCACCTCTACCACATACCACACATTTTTTTGCCTTCCAATTCCATTATAAATAAAAATACAGCATGAGTTATTGCCCTGTAATTTTCCAAATAAAAATGGAGCACAGAGACCAAGTGGCACAAGTTTATCTTTCCACTGTTAGAATTCTGTCAGTAAGATTATCAAGCAGAGAAGCCATGCATAGTTTCATCACAAAGGCTTCTTTTCTGACACCATTTGATATCTACATACATATTTAATTAAAATTGTCAGGAGTTTTTTAGACATTTCTCAATACACTGTCAGTTTTGCAGTCATACTGTTCACTCCTTTGTGGAATACATCGGAATACTCATTAAAAAAGCATTATCATCAAGAAAGAGAAATCTTGTTCATCATTTTCAGAAGCTTGTCACTCCTCCATTTAACTACTGTGTATAGCTCTAGTACAAAACTTTTCTTAATAGGCATATTCATATAAAGATTCTACATTTCATATTAATCATTGTGTTCCCATATTTTTTTAGTATCTTTTATCAGCCACATGTTGGGTCAGTGAAAAATTTTACCAAAGATTTCACAACCATTAATGCCAAAATTTCAAGAGGAAAAAAATTATGCAAAGACTCGACCAGAAAACATTAAACATGAAAATTATTGAGTAAAATAGAGAGTGAAAAATGAAGGATGATTAGAAGGTAAGTAACAGAGATGAATACAGAATGAAGATACAGGATATATGAAAAAAAAATCATGCCTGAGCCTAAGAAATGGTGCCAACAAGAAATCTACACACACACACACACACACACACACACACACACACACACAATCTCCAACTCCAGCACCACATTAACACACCAATCCAAATTTCAATACAAGACCCCATTGAAGACCACATATATCAGGGCCTATTCAACTAACCCACCAGAAACTTCTGGAAATCCAATGTATGTATCAGATGGCATATCCTCTTCCTGCTAGATGCGGAGCTGCTCACAGACTGATGCCTTGAGAGAGGTGGATACACGCATCATGAGAAGTTCCTGGCAAAAGCAGCTGATAGCTTGATGCTGGTTACTACACTTCTCAGCAGCCCAGAGTGGGAAAGCAGGCCCCTCAACCCATCCAAGCACAATGGATCTAATATTTTTCGTTTTATTGAAAAAGTATGCTTATATACTTTTGTTTATTTATGTCTTATGAATTATTTTTGTATTTCTAATATTACTCTCCATTCTTCTCCTCTGAGAAGCTGATGAGTTCCACTGCTTCTCTGCCCTAAGGTGGTTATTCTTTGAACTTTGATAAAAATTGTGGTTGAGCATCATATAAAATTCTACTCTTTCATCTTTTAAACATTTATCACTAACTACATTCTTAAACTGAATTTCTGAAGTTCTTGAAATTTTCAAATGATCTTTTTTTCTTCCCTGTTTTAGTTTTAGAACTGACTTTAATGTAGTCTCCCCTCCAATAGAGCACAGATAGTATAGTATAATCTCCCTCCATCACCCCCCCACCCCATATCCATTTATTTGTGTGTAGTATATGCAACTGTGCAGATGATCTTGTCCATACCTGTAGAGATGAGGAAATCAAGGTTCTTGGGAATACAGATTGAGAATGGAGAAAGAAAGCACATGAGGTCATATGAAAGTCAACATTGTGTACAATTAACATACAAGAGAAATTTAAAATAAAATTAAAATAAATGTTATTAAAAACAGCTAGAGATGATAACTTCCACAATCTTCCACTAGGCAAAACCTTCCTAACACTACAACGACAGAACTTGAAGAAGACAGATGTCATTAAAAAAAAAAAATAGAAACTTTTCTTGGTAGCTCACAGCTTTTTCAATACTTCAGAAGAGGTAGGCGGATCTCTGTGAGAACAAGGCCAGTCTGGTTTACATACTGAGCTTCAGGCCATCTGGAGCTACAGGGAGACACTGTATCAAAGTTAAAATTATATTGGGATTAGGAGATAGATTTTTTGATAATGTGTTTTTCAAGTAAGTATGAGGACCTGGTGGCCTGTGTCTGTATCCCCAGAACTGCCAAAGTGAGAAGGGAAGCAGGAGTAGGAATCTCACAGGTCAGCAACCCTGACATACTCAGAAAAACAAGGTACTCCACCTTAAGCAAGGCAGGACTGACACAACACACTCATACATGTTAACATGTTTTAGTGGGCATACACACATCATGGGGGGAAGGGAAGAAGAGAGGGAAATTCATCTTTTCTTTGAAAGACATTGCAAAGAAAATGAAACAGCAGCCACAAGCTGGGAGAAAATATTTACTGTTCTATAACCTTTTATTTTAGTTGAATTTTTATTAAGTTTTTATGATTTCCATACAATATCGTTTGATGGTAACTAGATCCCCCTATCATTGCTGCTGTGTCCCCATGGGTCCCTGTCCTGTTTAATGTACTTTCATAGGACTTGTACTAACAGCATTGCTGTGAGTTCATTTGAGTACAGCTGTCTGGAAGTTTCCATTTCCTTATGGTTATCCACCTCCTCTGGTTCTTATAATTTGCCACAGCCCTTGATGCCTCCCATAATTTGGAAGTAAGATTCTATTGCTGAGGACATTGGGACACAGAACTTAGAGCAACAGAGTTGGAACTGACCTCGCAGCCTCCTCCCTGAAGAATCGCATGGTATCAGGGGACATTATACAAGCTACCAAAGGAGAAAAGCAATCAACGGTCTTACTCATCTGTAAAGTCCAATAAACAACGATTGACCTAGCAAACTATCTCTATTAGTGCGGTAGTGACACTTTTATCTTGGGAGTAATCAACAAATCAACAGCTGTCTAATTGGAATTACCGTCTGCTCAGTTATCCAAAATGGGATGGAACTCGTGTGAGGTATTGCAAACATAGCCAAATACATATGGCTGAAGAGGTCATAAATCCTAGAGAAAGGCCTGATTTCTCACATCCCTAGACCGGCAAAATTTCTTACTTTATTCTAAATATGCCTCCTCACATTTTCAGACAAGCATACCTTTCACCAAAGAAAATTCTTTTTGCAATGGATGGAGATTATTACAGAATTCCAGAGGTTCTCAAATGCAGAGGGTAAGTGTCTGTTAGATTCTTAACCATAAGTAACACACTCAATGCAACCTCTACACCTAGGATGAATGCATCTCTTAACTCTCACCAAGAGAAGTTTCTTTTGCAGCAGATGATAATGAACTCAGAAACCCACAACTAGACAATGTGTAGAGAACAAGAAGCCATGGACTGCCGATTCCTGAATAGGACACCTATTTCAAACCTCTACCTGCCAAGGCTTAGGGATCATTGTGGAAGAGGAGATGGAAAAACTGTGAAATATATGCTAAATTAAATAAATGGGAAGTTCCAAATTGATAATAAAATATAGAAAACGTTGAAACCTAATTAAATAATAATCAAATTCATAAAATGTTTAAAGAGAAAATGACGCATACATGGGCATTAATAATGGCTTTATTTATAACAGGTAAAATGATTTCTTACAAAGTTAATATTTCCAACAGAATGTAGGACTATGAATCATCAATATCAGCCAAAGAATAATAACAAAAAAACTATTCAACAAAATAAATGTAACTTCAAACCACACGGCAGAGTGTGAAATGCTCTATAGATCATGATACTCTCTGACTATGCACAAACGAAATCATGGAAACCAACGAACTCCCATAGTTGTCAGAAGTGGGCAAGAGATTGGGTGGGTGGAAGGGTGGTGAAGACGCCGAAGAACCACAAAGGATGCTGGTGTTGGGGTCACAAAGCTGGATCTCACCGGAGTTCTAATGGAAATGTACACGGACAGCTTTGTGTTTTACTACATATCTTAATGTTTATGTTAAGTTCATGAAATAAAATATTTGGCATATGATTTCAAATGCAGGTCGTGGTTTTATATGCTTGTTAATTATGTTAGCCTTTATAATTCATTGATCACACACTATTAGCAGTTGCAGAGTTGATTGCCGTGTTTCAGTTCTTAAACCATTGTTCTTATTGTCCTGGATTCACCAACCGAATACAAGTTCCCGATATAATAAAATAATTACTTCAAATGCCATCCCAATGAGTAATTTAAAGTTGGTAACTAACAGTTGCAAATTAGAGTCACAAACAACGTCTAAATGGGTAAATGCAGATGTTTTTTAAATTTTTGTTAATTCTTGATATTTTAAATACTAAGGACTCTATTCATGATTTCTTCAAAAACTTTCACATTTCAGTAATATAGAAATATACATCATAATTATTTTCTGCTTTTAGGTAAGATGAAATTGATGTATATTCATGACATTGGCCTTCAGGATGCAAGAAGCTAGAGAGTGCAATGTCTTTGAATGCCTTTTCATAGATTTCTTTGCTATATAGAGCATCCCATATATTGTTTGGGTAGTTTATGTAGTTGCAAGATTATCTCCTTTTCATCTGCGTCCTAAATGCTTCAGCATCGAGAGACAGGGCTGCTTCAATTTTGAGTTTCCTAGAATTAGGATAAAGGAATGGCTTGAAGGATACATGAGTCCAGTAATCATACAGATAAAGTGAACCAGTTGACTGTGGTGCTTCTGAGAAATCCACGCTATAACAAGGGACAGAAAATACACAGCATAAAGGAGGAGGAACGAGATGATGATTCTCAAGGCATTCATGTGAGCCTCGGTGTTGGGGTCTCTGTGTCCTTGGGAATTGAACTTCATTTTCTGGAGATGCCTCCACAGAGAAAAGATTAACAGGAGAAAGGAGACCAGGGCCAGGATAAACGGTGTCATAGAGAACATAGTCATATTGAATAAGATCAGCTCACTCACCCTAAAAGCCAAAGTTGAGTTTCTTCCATACCATTGCATCTTCTCCTCAAGCGTGATGCTTGTTTGCATCAGATTTAAAACCAAGAAGAGCAAAGTTCCCAGCACTATCACAGGAACCAGTTTCTTAATTCTCCATTTCAAGAACAGAAAGATAGGCCAGGAGATATTGGCTATTTTGAGCAAATAACAAACGCTGAGGATTGTAGCCAGCCAGAGGCTGAAGTGGTTGGAAAGAACCCAGCTGAAATGAAGAAACTGTAATCCTGTTCCAGTCATGAAGAAAAATGAATCCTGCATAGTTTTAAACCAAATACACATTTCCCAGATGAGAGTAATTCTAGAAATTGCCAAGATAAGGATAACTTTATCAATTTCAGAAAGCTTTTGTTTATTGACATAGTCAATGCAGTTTGTCAGTATTATGAATCCATTGCTCAGATGCCCAAAAATAAACTCCACAACTATTACAATGGTGAGGATGAACTGCAGGGCACTTCCCATGTTAGTCCACAGAAAATCCAAGACCTATCACAGTTCATTTGCTGATCTAAGTGCCCTGCCTATTGTCCAATGTGCAGCTAAACTCTTTCTGCCCTTTATGCTGTTCCTTCTGTGATATTTGGCCATGTGGCAAGCCAAGCATTTCCTGTTTGGTTATTAATATGCACACGTCCTTGTTAAAGCTTTGCCCTGAATTCTCGGTTGACTCATAGTTAACATGTTGTTCTTCACTATGAGATGAAATATGTCATAGACAATTTTGGAACAAAGGCAAACTCACATTTGCTAATATTAAAATGAAGATATATTCATTTCCACTATTTTGTTCTGGGAGCTTTCTTTAAGCTCTTAGAAATTTGATTCCGTCAGTTTGAATTTTTATGTCAAGCTGGGAATCAAAGAAAGAAACAGGTCATCAATTTAAAGAGTTTATATACCCTCTCCCTTCAGAAGAAAAGAAGAAATTCAGTAAATTTGAAAATATGTAGACTCAAGAAAGATGACTAATTTTGACATTCATATTAGTAAAACACTTGAAATAACTACTTTTATATTGACTATATAAGATATACAGCTAAATTGCTTGATGAGAGCTATGCTTCATTTCATAAACATGTAATTTATGAATTTAAAGGTTCTATATTTTATTAATCATAAAACTTGGCCAGGTGATATAAATATTTATAATTAATTTAACCACATCGTTTTTGCTGATTTTCCAAATTTGAATTTTAACTTGAAATAGTTGTTACTGCTGCCATTTCCAGCAGACTTTCAATCCCTGTTCCATGTGAAGGGATTTTAACAGGAGGGAATTCTAGGGTAGTTTATTAGACTATTGGGGAGAAAAGATGTAATCTGAGTAATAGGGCAGGCAGCTCACAATCTCAGGACCTTGGCAAGCAAATGGATGAAAGAGGGCAGATTGGGAAAAAGTCAGGGAGGCAATGAATGTGAGAAGATTCTCAAGAATAAGACTTTAGAGCACCACCTTTTTGAAAGTGAGCTTCAAACCTCTTGTCATGTCTAAGTTTCAAAATGAAACATGTATTTGGGGCTCATAAACTGGCCAAAAGGCTAAACAGAAGACAATGAATTCAAAGAGCTGTGCTTTCCTCATTCAAAGCTAAGAAAACTAAAAAGGCAACTAGTAGTGACAAGTGTGGTGAGCTACTTCCTTTATAAAACACCTACCCTGATTTGGAGTCCATGCAGAAAAGCTTGTCACAGAAAATAAGTTAAAACAAACAGTTATGGGACATGATTAGCTATTTTGTTCTTTGACTGGACTGAGGGCGTAGGTAGTCTTTACATCCAAAGCTCCCATCATCCTGAGCAATAAATACCTTAATGGACAAAGACTCAAGGTGGTTTGTTCCTAGTTCTCTCTGTTCATGTCACCCTGACCCTCCAAGGTATGTTTTCTATTTCTGCTTTTATAAAACCTCTCTCATTTTTTCCTCTCCTTCTCATTACATCTTTTGGGAAGGTGCTCCAGAGGTGGGCTCCCTAAATTTAGGCCACTTCGCCAAAGACTAAGGTGATCATGTAGTTCTTTGGTAAGAGTTAGGCAATTTCTGAGCTAGAAATCAAAAACCACGCAGGCCAGCAGTGAAACTCTGTGAGCTAGTTGTCTGAAGGGAAAGACATTTTGGGTTTATAAGTGTATATGATTAAGGGGACAATTATTATTCCCACTTCTTGATCTCATTTTTATTTATGTCTTATTTCATCCCCTTTGGCTTTATATCCTCTGTAAAGCAAGAGTGATATTTCCTTAAATATGCAAACCTTACATGGACATTGGAGGAAAACATTGCCAACATCACAGTGCTCCTTCCACTAACATGGATCCTTGACATGGATCCCTGCCCTTTGAAAAGGCTGGGATCCATGTCAGGGCATGCTGACCCACTGACATTCAGATTCCCTGAAGTGTGACTGGTAAAAAGAGCTGAAAAGACCTTTTTCATTCTCTTCCTAAATAAAGTCTCCTCTCATTATAGAACAATTGAGAATCTTCCAGAATATCTAAGAAAAAACGTATAGTGATACTCCCTAGAAATAATTAGCACCCAGAATGTACACAAATTTTCTAAGGAAAAGGTCAGTCTTTACATTATGAAGAAATACCACAGAGCTTCAGAATTTTTGGAAGTATAAAGATCAAAAGAATGGGAAGAAGTGTTACAGTTGCAAACTTATTATTTCTTATGTCCCTAGTTGAATTCCATAAGAGAAAGTATTAAAATGAAGAACTAGAGTAAATAAAACTTGTTTCCAAAATATATGGACAGAGGACTATTAATTCCAGGAGTAAATTATAAACACTGCTTTTTTTTCCCCCAAAAGTCTTAAGGAAAATAAAAAAGAAGCAAATGCTAGAAACAGGAATCGATGAAAACCTTGAGTATTAAAGCTATTTTCCTTTCTCTTACTCCCGTTCATTTAAGATATCTTCAGTGCTTTACCAAAATCTTCTATGTTCCCTACAACTTTGTGTATGAATGCTATACACAGAATAATTATCTCACACTGAAAGAGGGGTCAACCAACCACCAAATACAAGTGTCAATATTGGCATTTCTGTATTTTCAAAGGCCCTGTAGACAATGAATCTAAAATTTCCCCTTCATTAAGAATGATGATTTTCACATAAAAAAGTTTTCTGTAGATTTTTATGGATCCCCTTATGAATTAAAAATGTCTTCTCAATTGTTTTATTTTTTATTGTCAGTGTTTTATTGTCAGACAGGGTCTCCTTGTGGCCACAGCTGACTTGGGATTTGCTATGTAGACTAGGCTGACCTCGATCTCATAGAGATCTGCCTGCATCTGGCTCCCTAGTAGTGGGATTAAAAGCATGTGCCAACATGCCCGGCAATTGTACTATTTTTAAATTTTTTCTTTCTTTTTTTTAAATAAGATTTATTTATCTTTGTGTCTATGTATGTTTTGACTGCATAAATGTTAAGTCACCATATACATACAATGTCTGTGGAGGCCAGAAGACGGTTTCAGTTCTCTTGAAACCAGAGTTGCACATAGTTCTTAGCTGCCATATAGGTATTAGGACATGAATATGGGATCTTTCACCGAAGAGTAAATGCTCTTAACCACTTACGAATCTCTCCAGCCCCCTGACCCCAAATTTTCTTACACTAAATAAAACTTACACACTGGGATGAATCCCCTTGGCTGTAAGGTACTGTGACCTATAGCCACATCTGGATGTAGCTTGACAACGTTCATCACAATTTTGAAGTTTCTGTATAAGAAATATTGGTATTTACATTTTGAGAAAAGATCTTGCCATGAAGGCCTAAATCTCACTATGCTGTCCCAGGCTTGCTTCTATCTCTTTATCTCCCTGCATAGGGTTCCCTATAGCTGATATCATAGGTATGTACCAAGTCTGGATAAATTTAATATTCCTTTCTGTTCATCAGAATATGATGTTAAGAGTTTACTACCCTCTTGGTAAGACCACTGGTGGCTCTTCCTGCTCCCCAGGAGGGAATTTCATACACTGTAGTATAATCTTGGCCAAAAATAATGTCTGGCAAGGTCATGAGCCCCAGTGTAGAACTGCTATTATTATTTTCTTAAATGGTCATGTTGTCAAATTTCTTTTTGGATATTATCTTTGTACTCGTAGACTAGGCTGCTCTCAACTTTGTTCAGAGAAGCTCCCTTTTGCAGTGTGAAGCAGTCAGTGGTGAAATGCAGAAATGGTCACAGTGCTGACAATAAGAGATTGAGGATTTATATTGAGTAGGAATGCATACCTTTAATCCCAGAGCTTGGGAGATAGAGGCCAGCTTGGTTGACATGGTAAGTTCCAGGCCAGTGTGAGCTACCTAGTGAGATCCTATCTCAAAAACAAAAAGCAAAAATTTTAAAGAAATATTGAGGATTCATCCCAAACTGCAACATCATTATCAAACTCTCCTTGCCAAGACTAAGGGGGATATTATGGATGAAAAGGCAGAAAGAGCAAGGGGCAAGATATCCCCCAATTGTGCAATAGGGACACATGTATACCAGGTGTATTTTGGTGGTACCCGACAGATGTCTAATAGTGCCTGAAGACAGTTTAACTGGAAGAGATACCACATCATTATCAAACTCTCCTTGCCAAGACTAAGGGGGATATTATGGATGAAGAGGCAGAAAGAGCAAGGGGCAAGATATCCCCAATTGTGCAATAGGGACACCTGTATACCAGGTGTATTTTGGTGGTACCCGACAGATGTGTAATAGTGCCTGAAGCCAGTTTAACTGGAAGAGATACAAGCCTAATACTAGTATAGAACCATCGCTAGCAGAATCATAGGCCATGGAGGAGAGCTGATTACTACCATGTGATAAAATAATATATTTCTAAACTAACTTCTAAATACTCATCCTTAAATCCATAAATAAGTGCAAATATCACACCTCATCAAAGATTCTTCTTTTTACAGCAGATAGATGCTTTTAGACAGATCACAAATGATCAAAATGGAGAGAATAAGTGACTTTGAGGAGCCAGCCAAAATGGGAAATCTATAACATAACTCTAATATCTGTCTTCAAGAATATTGCAGAAGAGGGGCCAGAAAGACGGTAAGAGCCTAAAGAACAGATGACTGCTGCATGATGGTTTCTTCTGGACAGGAAAAAGATGTGCTCCCATAAACTCTCAACAACATGGTTGCCGGCAGAAGACCTGCAAAGACCATACCAGTTGATACGGCAACATGGGTGGAGGAAAATTTCACAAGGCACTAGAAGTTGTCAGTGATAGTCTAAAGCTACTGAGGGAGGGAAAACCAGTTTATTTTTATTTTTTTATTTTTAT